AACCAAGAAACAAGATTTCCACCAATGAATTGACAAGTACCAGATGTACTTTTCCGGTCAACTTTGCATCCGGCAAAGTCAGAATCTGAGTATCCCACTAACTCAAATGAATTGCTCTTAGCATACCACAAACCCATGTTCTGAGTTCCTTTGAGGTATCTAAGAATTCTTTTAGCTGCTATCAGATGACTTTCCTTTGGCTTTGACTGGAATCTGGCACAAACACCTACTGCATATGAGATATCCGGACGGCTTACAGTAAGGTAGAGTAGAGATCCAACAATTCCTCTTAGAGAGTTTGATTTACATCCTTTCTATCTACATCCATATCAAGCTTGGTGGATGTACTCATGGGGACGGAAACGGATGACTTCTGGTCAACTTTGAATTTCTTGATAAGATCCCTTGTGTACTTGGCTTGGTTGATGAGAGTCCCTTCACTTCTCTGTTTGATTTGAAGGCCAAGGAAGTAGTTGAGTTCCCCCATCATGCTCATCTCAAATTTTCCATGCATGAGGGTTGAGAACTTGGTACAGAGATCTTCTTTAGTTGAGCCAAATATGATGTCGTCCACAGAGATTTGGACTAACAGGAGATCTTCTCCGTCTTGTAGTTTGAACAATGTCTTGTCAATGACTCCTTTGATAAATCCATTGTTTATAAGAATTTGAGACAATGTATCATACCAAGCTCTTGGAGCTTGTTTGAGTCCATACAACGCCTTTTTGAGTCTATACACTTGATCTCCCTTAGTGTGTAACTCAAATCCTGGAGGTTGTTCCACATAAACTTCTTCCTCGAGGTTTCCGTTGAGAAATGCGCTTTTGACATCCATTTGATAAACTTTGAAATCCTTATGAGCAGCAAAGGCTAGAAACAGCCTTATAGCTTCAAGTCTAGCAACTGGAGCGAAGGTTTCATCAAAATCTATACCTTCTTCTTGACAATATCCTTTGGCAACCAACCGGGCTTTGTTTCTGATAACAACACCGTTTTCATCCATCTTGTTCCGGAAGACCCACTTTGTCCCAATGACATGTTGATGAGTAGGTCTCGGAATAAGTTTCCAGACGTTATTTCTGGAAAATTGGTTGAGTTCTTCTTGCATTGCATTGATCCAATCAGAATCAGCTAGAGCTTCTTCAATATTCTTTGGTTCCACTTGTGAGATGAAACAAGCAAGCATAGCTTCTAGATTCTGCTGAGCACTTCTCGTGCGAACGCCAGATTGAATATCTCCAATGACTTGTTGGGGAGGATGATCCCTTAACCAACGAAGATTGTGTTGATTAGGATTGATTGGTTGATCTAGTTCAGCTTCTGGTTGAAGAACAGAAGTTGGTGTTTCTGGATGGATTGGCACTCGGTCGCCATTTCCGGAATTGTCGCCGTTTGAGTGATCCGGAATATTGGAAGGCTGGCCAAGATTTACAGTAGGCTCAACAATGTTTGAATACGGATTTCTCTGTGAAGTCTTCAGTGGTAGACTTCTGAATGGAATGAATTCCGTAGGCTTCATTCTATCTCCTTCATTGACTTCTTCATCCTTGTCAGATATGTTGACCCTTGTGTTTTGATAATGACAACCTTATATGTGGGATAAGCTTTGGATCTTTGAATCAAGTCACCTGGATCATTTCGTATGGATTATCTTGCAAGTCGGCTTACGAGCTCCAAGACAAGAATTGGCTTACGAGCTCCAAGACTAGAATTGGTGTTAAAAAGGTTTTTAGATCTTTTACATTTTTTTAAGTCTTAGTTCTTGTTAAAGTGTGTGGCACATGTTTATTCTTCAAAATTCTCTATTTCTCTTATAAGAATTCCTTCTTTATTGTTATTTAAAATGTTTTTTTTAAACTATGTTTTCCAAGGCTTTTGTTCGAATAAATGATGATTTATTCGAATAAGAGGGACCTCTGCAGATTGCAGCTCGGTCTGTTTTAATCGAACAAATGCTTATTTTATTCGAATAAGTGCTGATTCCATTTTTTCCAGCCTTTTGAAAACTATTCGAATAAATGGTTATTTATTCGAATAAGTAGCTTCCCAGAATTTCAGTTCACCCTGGTTTATTCGAATAAATCTTAGATTTATTCGAATAAGAACTGCGTTTTCTAAATTCCTATTTTATCAAAACTATTCGGATAAATCTGATTTTATTCGAATAAGTCGTCAGTTTGAACTGCAAATTTGTCGGTTTTTAAGGAAGTTATTCATCCCTATCTTCCATAACTCACATACAACGGCTCTTTTGCTTGGAGAACAATATTTATATTCATTCCAACATATTCTTCAAAAAAAATCCAAGCAATTCAATTCATACTTTTAATCCTTCAACATTACTTCCAAGCAATTCTTCAAGAAATCAATATTTGCTTGAGTTTTGAAGAGTACTAGTGTGCCATACTCTATAAGTTCTTGTATTCTACAGCAATCCACCCTTAATTTGAAGAGTATTTCCGCTGTGCACTTTGTTTTGAAACAGTGTGTGAATTGTGAAAACTTGAAGTTGATATAATTCAAGTTTTGGAGAGAAATCCTGAGTCTTGTGAAATCAAGACTACGGTGGAAAGGTTAGAGGCTTGCGAATTCAAGTTCTCGAGTTGTAATCGGATTGTCAAACTCCGTTAAGTTTGACGAAGTTAGTGGAATCTCGGGCACGTTTGCTTCGGGGACTGGATGTAGGCATTAGGCCGAACCAGGATACATCGTGTGTTGCTCCTTC